GCACTGGGTGTTATGCACAAACAATGAATCATGGAACACTACATCTAAAACTAATGATGTAATGTATGGGGATTAACATAAGAATAAAAAAAAAATCAAAAAAAAAAAGAAACTAGGGGAAATTTATAAACTGGCAATTCGTAGAAAACTAAATCTGAAAGGCAAATAAACACACACAAAAAATGCTCAATATCATAAGTCAGCAGGGAAATAGAAATTTAAAACAATAAAAAGATACTTCTCAGGTCTGAAAAAAAAAAAAGAAATGATAGAAAAAGGAACTTCTCAAGGAAGTTACTAAATGAGTGAAGAGGAGATGGGTTTTAGGTCACTACGGCCTAGAGAAGAGGTTCTACGGAATATGACTTGATTACTTAGAACTCCATGTTGCAAGTGGCAAAAAGAATTAGCCCATAATGATTTAAATAATAAAGGGTAGCTATTGGCCAAAATTCCCAGGAACGACTGGCTTCAGACAGGACACCATCTAGTATGCAAGTAATATGACCTGATTTCTATTTCTCTGTTCTTCCCTTCGAGGTGCCAGCCTCTTTCCTTTTCACCCACATTTTGTCATGTTATCACCCTTCCTTTTCCTCCACCAGCAGCACCATGTTCTCCCTTTGAAGAGTACCATTTCCAGACCTTACAGGCTCACCTTATCTTTCTCAGAAGGCTCTAGCAAATATGTATTTACATTTCACTCTCTGATTAGTTATATACCTTCACTGAACTAATCACTGTGGCCACAAAAATGGGATAATCTGATTGATTTCAGCAAATTAGTGCCCACCCCAAAAGTATGGAAAAGTCAATCATACCTATCATATGGCTGATAATATAAAAGGGTGGTTGCCCATGAATATACACGATACCCAGAGAGGCTAGTGTGTCACCTGGGGTGGGCGGGAAAGCAGTGTGGCTTGGGAAACATGGCTTAGGGCTACACTGAAAAGTTTGACTTGTTTCTCATTTGCTTCACCTAAGCCAGACATTGAAAGAGATCTCAGAACATGTGGCCTCTCCCCATTATCCTTCTTTAAATCATGGCAGAAGAAAGAGCTTTGGATTGGGGGCCAAAAGATCTTGACTCCTGGTATTGGCTCTGTCAGGACACTAAATCTTTCTGATCCTCAGTTTTCTCAACTATAAAATGCAGATGATGCCACCTGTCTTCCCAGCATTGTCAAGAGGATCAAATGAAATGGTCAGTATGGAAGCTCTTTCAAAAGTATCAAGATATATTTAGAAAGTACTATTTGTAATCTTACGCTCAGTGCTCATTTCCACATATTCCTCATCTTGAGGGCTTAAAAAAATTGAGCCAATGCACTCCCCCAGTTTCCCTTTCTTCACCCCACTCCAGACAGTCCATCCATTTTTCACTGATATGCTTTCATTGGTATACTCTATATCAATCATGATGCCTTTAGCTCAAGGAATGGAAAACCCTACCCCAAACAACTTTAACAATAGGACACTTCATTATCTCATGATAAGGAGTCCACAGATAGGGTGGGCTCCAGGTGCAGTATGTCAGCCAGTGCCTCCACCTCTTCTGGCGCTGACTTCGCCTTAGGGTTGCTCTCCTCCTCACCCTTGCTACAGAGTGGCTACAGTGGTTCCAGCAATCACAGGCAGACAACTCTTTCTTCATATGTGGATGTCTCTCTCTCTCTCTTTTAGGCTAGAACAGCTTTCCAAGAAAAACTGTCATGTCTTACTGATTAGAACTGGCCACAAGCCCACCCCTAAACCAATCTCTGGCAAAAGGGAATGGGATTCATATGATTAGCTGAGATTACTCAGCACTCACCCCTGAGCTAGAGATAGGGCTATTTTCTACATGGACAGATGATAGAAAATGATCTGAAAATGATCAGGGCCTAATGGCTAAAGAGTGGAGTGATTGGCTGTTGGGTAGGCAGCTGAGAGCTTCTGTGTCACAGATGCTGTCAACGCCCTGCTCATTTCCCGGGGCCTATGACTTCAGTGCACATCACTAACTTCTGACCAGCAGTGCCTGTACTTCTTTGCTTGTAAGCTTCTTGGGCTACTTGGAGCCTGCACTGCTGCCCATGCAATAAGCCAGAAATACTGGGGGATTGATGTTCAATCAACCCTGGAAACAGCCCTCAATGACTGATGAACTATATACTCCAAGTATATAAATACCCAAGTTCCATCATCTCTGGGGTAAGATAACTCTGTGGTGTTTGCTCTATACTGGCTTCCAGAATTTCCCCAGCAGAAGTAAGTTCCAGTAGGCCACAGTGGTAGCTGGCTTGACAACACTCTTACAGGTTGCCTTCCTTTTCCTGTCTTACTTTCTCATTCTGCTATGGCATCTCCTTCACCTCCTTTGACTTCCTGTCTCAGAGTCAGCTTCTTGGGAAACCCAAATCAAGATACTATGTACCATATGCCAAACTTCTTCCTGAATCCACAGTCTTTGTATATAATTTTCTCATCTGCACGGAACGTGTTTCCTCCTTCTTCTCACCTGATGCACTCACTCTCCAAGTCTTGGTGTAAATGTCACTTCCCTTCGGAATCCTTCTTTGATCGCCTCTCCACCTGACAACATTCTCTCAGTCTTTGCTCTCCTATTCCATACTTCTCCTTAACAATAATTACAATAATTTAATTGTTTGTGTAATTTAATTAATTATTTGCTTCCCATATTTATCCACAACTAGACTGTGAGCTGCTTGAAGGTAGGGACAATGTTTTTGGCTCAACACTAACGATTGACCTCCAGTACAACGCCTGGCACAAAGTAGAGGGTCAAGGACTTACTGCCCACTGGAAAGATGAGGGTTGTGAGAGACTAAAGATGCAAGTTTGAGGGTCATTCACAAGGACAAAATGATCAATCTTTATGGAAAAGATCTTTGATTCACATGACTCCTACATGGATCTACATTTGTTTCTTAGGGCAGAATATAACTTTTATACATGAGGGGATGTCCGTAATCTAAAAGAGAATCTTTTTTTTTTTTTTAAGATTTTATTTATTTATTTGACACAGAGAGAGAGAGAGAGTGAGCACAAGCAGGGGGAGTGGCAGGCAGAGGCAGAGGGAGAAGCAGGCTCCCCACAGACAAGGGGGAGCCCAATGTGGGACTCGATCCCAGGACTCCGGGATCATGACCTGAGCCGAAGGCAGTCGCTTAACCAACTGAGCCACTCAGGCGCCCTCTGAAAGAGAATCTTGGAGTGGCTTATTTATATCTATGAGAGATGCCACTTTAATCACCTTACTTTATTTATACATTACAGATTTCTACCTCAAATCCACCATTCATTCATTGAATGCCTACTACCTATTAGGCATTGTACCTGGCACTTGCACTATCTGCCATCAACTATTTTCAAAAGTCATGAGAGAGATTATATTGATGGAGAAAATCCCAGATTCCTTCTCTGCCTCCCCTCACCATCCTTCTACATTAGGCTTTTGGCTTTCATTAAAAGAACAAAGAACAATCTAATGAAAGTAATCACTATATCTGCTGAAAAAGGTATCTGAGGACATTGTCTGTTTTGTCACTCAGTGCTCACATGGGAAAAGTTAGTGATAAGTGACATGAGGCACGGTAAAAACAAACAGACATGCACGCTTGTCATCTTTTTGCCAGGCAGGCTCTTTCTTACTAATCCCTAAACCAGACCCTTGTCTCTGCATGGGATTGATGCAGGTTTTATGGGGCTTGAGGTTTATATAATTTGGAATCCTTTGAGAAAAAAGTGTAAGACTACAAATAAAAATGTAACACAGATCTTTGGAAGCAGTCTACCCAAGTGAGGGGCTCTGAAGTTCAAGCTTCACTGGTTTTGCAGTAAATCAGCATCGGACCTTGATTCAATGAATCTGCTCTCCTCTGCCCCTTACCCCTGCCATGGTTGTTCTGACCTCTATGCCTTGTTTATATTGATTTCTTACTTGAAAGTCCTTCCCCTTCCTTTTTCAATTTGTGGACTATATATATATATATATATATATATATTTTTTTTTTTTTCCAAGTTTGAATCCACAATACCTTCTTTGATTCTACCTAGCAGGAAGCTCTCCCTTCCTGAAGGCCCACACCCTATGAAATAAGCCCAGGACATTCTATCTCATTATGGCTTAAATTGCATTATCTATTTTAGGTATATATAGTGTGCCTTCTCCAATTAGAATGTCCACTTCTTGGGCATAGGGACTATTTCTTCATTTAGGTCTCTCCTCAGCACCTACTAAAGTTCTGGGTACAGCAGTAAGGGAAGGAAAAAGGAAAGGTGTCATGAAGAAGAATTATGGGGTTTGGAGTGGAGCTAACTTGGTTTGAGTTCTAGTTCTGCCACTTATTAGTCTGTGGCTTTAGGCTTAACCATTCTGAGTCTTAGTTTTCTCAATGATAAATTGATATAATCATGATGTTTATTTCACATCATTGTAAGGATTAAGTAAAAGCATTTATTCATTCACCAAATACCTATTTAGCTCCTCTCTTGGGCTATTTCTGGTACCAGAAGCTTGGAATACATGTAACTGAGCAATACTCTCTGTATGAGGGTTCTCATAGTTGATTTGGGAGATGGAAATTTATAATGTAACAGAATAAGACTGTAGCACACACAATCAGAGCGTAGTAAATGCTCAATAAATAGTTGTGAAATAACTGACACAATGAAGGAATTCAGAAGAGAAAATGGTTAATTTTGCAAAGTAAGTAGGTCTTCCCATATTTGCCACATCATCCTTATGTAAATATAACTGTTAGCAATAATGGATATGACAGTGTATGGGAACTCATAAAATGCTTCCTGTAAAGGAAAAATAAAACCAAAGGAGAAAGAATGCTAGGAGAGAGGAAAAAGGGGAGGAAGAGAGGCCTCAAGGAGGCAAGGAGTGGGAAAGGACCTCTGTGGACCCACCTGGCCAAGTGTGCACTCCATGCCACCCAGGAAGTCGGCCTCCTTCAGCCCATTGTGGTTGCTGCTGATGTCATGAACTTCAAACCGCAGACGCTGCACCTCTTCAAAGTAAAAGTCCACAGTGAACAGTTTTGAATACACTGGGTTTATGCAGGTGCGAATCACCTCTGTTCTGTCAACCTGCAAGGAGAGAAGAAGAGAAAACCCCACCAGGGATTAGGGCTTCTTATTATTACCCTTTAGGTGAAATAATCTTATGGTGCTTCCCTGCTTCCAAACCATAAATGCCCTCCATTGAGTCACCAGAGCTAGCTGTTAGAAAGCCTGCAAGGAGGCACCCTCAGAGAATGAGCCACGTTTCAAGGTGGGAAATCTTTCAGAATAATCTGAAGCTTTGCATTTAAAGATTTAGAGCATGTTCTATTGTTAGGTAATAAGGCAACAAGACGGATCAATTATTAGTGACTACCTGGAGCGTTAGGATGAAAAGGAGTCTGAAAGCACATCTGGGCTCGGGAGGAAAGAAATCTGTAACAGATTAGTGATGTCTGATGGGCACAGTAATGGCAAAAGACCTTGTAGGCACCCCATTTTAGCCAACCCTACTCTAACAAGAGTTTTGCAACACCTGATTCCTAGCATAATGAAGTGGAAAGGCCATAAGAATGGGGATGAAAGTGACTGCCTTTGGTCTCAACTACAGCTTTTCTTTTATTGGGTTTATAATGGTTACTCAGTCATTTCAATTCCCTGGGCCTCAGTTTCCTCATCAACAAAATGAAGATTCGAGGATTGGAAGATGAAAAGCCCCTTCCTGCTCTAACAGTCCATGAGTTACGACTCCCCTTGCTTTCTGTGCTAATAACTCTCCATTTGCCCCTCTCTCTCCGATCCGTATCTCCTACTCTCCACCCTACTCTTGACCCTGGAGGCTGACCTCTATGGATGGAGTTCCCTGGACTTCCTTGCCCTCTAGGTTCTGGTTTGAATCAGCCAAAGGGAGGACTTAGCAGGCGATCAGATGGTGGGAGGATAGAGAGGTATTGGCAGCAGTACCATGCCTCTGCACACACAGAGCCTGCCAGTAGACTCCCTTCCACAGAGGGAGCTTTGGCGGGTCCTGGTAACACAATGCCCCCTCCTTCTCTAGACTCTTCAGACCATGGGGTGGTAGTGACTTTCTGCTGTTGCTATCCCTAATCACCATCCTTTGTTGGCTCCCTTATCCCTGCCCATGCCCCCAGAAAGGGTCCCTCTATAAAGAGTTTAGCCCTTTAGATGAAACTCTCTGGGTATGCCATCTGTTTTTACTGGTACCCTTACCACTAAGGGTCTTTTCTTCTATGTCTGTCACATGTCAAAACACCGTTTACAACACTATTTATATTCTGGAAAGCTAACCCAAGATCTTAATGACAGCTAACCCAAATTATCGCTCACCCAAGATCTTACAGTATCTCCTAACTGGGGATATCCATTACTCATATTTTACAAATCAACTGGAGCCTACATGTACTTTTGGCTTTCAGATAGAAACATGGTCTGTTGGATACTTCCCAAATGTTGTTCATTAGCACAAACTGGGAAAAACATTTCCTGCACTTTCATTAGAGTACAGAGAAACATTCTCTCAAAAACTGAAGGGAAGACTGTCTTTAACCATATCATGCACATACATGTTATCCAGCAAAGAAAAAATTCTTGCTGCAGAGTCCCTTGACATTCTTGCATTCGGTGTTTTGTCCCTGGTCCAACCGTCCCTATGGGCCGTATGTGTGAGAGAGTTGTCCTGTAAGAAACATCACCTGCTACTCCTGAGGGGATGGACAATACAGGTTGTGAGGAGGAGAATATGATTCTGGTTAGGTCCCTGTCCAACAGACAGAAAACCAAATCCCAACCTACTGTTGATTAGCATTTTACAATAAGCTATTGTTCAGACCAATGGTTATTTGACTCTTCTGGCTTCTCCTGAAGGCTTAGCTTCTACTTGAACTGAATTTTACATTTTTAAAATTTAAATTCAAGTTAGTTAACATATAGTGTAGTATTGGTTTCGGGAGTAGAATTTAGTGATTTATCACTTACATAAAACACAGCACTCATCCCAATATGTGCTCTTCTTAATGCCCATCACCCATTTACCCCATCCCCCCACCTGGCTCCCCTCCAGCAGCCCTCAGTTTATTCTCTGTAGTTAAGAGTCTCTTATGGTTTGGGGTGCCTGGGTGGCTTAGTCAGTTGAGCATCTGACTCTTGGTTTCAGCTCAAGTCATGATCTCAGGGTCATGAGATAGAGCCCTGTGAAGGGTTCCACGCTCAGCAGGGAGTCTGCTTGAGATTCTCTCTCTCCCTCTCCCCTTCTTCCCTCTTCCCCATGCTCACTCTCTCACTCTCTCTCAAAATAAATAAATAAATCTTTTTTTTTTTAAGTCTCTTGTGGTTTGCCGGAATTTTACATTTTTATATAATATTCATTCTGTGGGATAGGACTGAATGTGTCACTGGCTGGTTGTATACGTACAAGGATTTACTATATTGATATAATTTTTTTCAGTTGTTAAAAGATCATCGTTTTGAATAATAGTATAAATTAGAGGTCACAAACTGGCAGTCTGCAAGTTCAAGCTGACTTGGAGGTGTTTTATGGTCCCGTTTGAAAGTACTTTCCCCCTTAATTTGCCAACATAAAAGGCAACAATAAATAAAATAAAATAGTCCCATACATTCTATTGCCCCTCCCACCTTTGGAAAAAAATAAGAATATCTGGCAATGTGGGGCCACACTCATACATGGCAACAACTGGGGACTGCCCCATTCAGATGGGGCACTCACTGTCCAAGCTCTTCTGCCTCAGTGAGTTTCCCTGACTCCTAGAGGCATTTTTGCAACATCTGGCCCAAATTCACAGAATAAAGAGCCATATAAGAGATTTAATTATATTCATGGGGTGACTTTTGAGAGAGGATTTTGAAATAGCCCCCAAGAACTAACTTCTAGATGGATTTGACATCCTCAAGACACAGAGAAGGAATATTCCCTCCTTATGTGTGTAACAATAGAGTCCTAGGTGGGTTGAGATAAGATAGGAGATGGAAATTCCATCCAATTCCAGTCTTTGTTCCTCTGCTTTAACCACCCCAGATGGCACAAGGGGCTGATATGCACCGATCCTTTTGCTTTTCTTCTCAGTTCTTGATTTTCAGATGACAATCCCATATAGATATAAGTTCATGTTGGCATCAAGCCACTGACCTCAGACAGTCTATCCAAGGCAAGCTGTCAACATGCAACATGGAATGACTTGGTTTTTTCAGGGAAATGACTGGTTGGAAAGAAAGTAAGAAATACACAATTGCATTACCAAGATAGATAATTTCCAAAGATAATCTCAGAGCCAGTAAGAATCCTAAGAGCATAGAGAAGCTCAGAAAAATAAGAATGATGCTAGTAGAGGAAGTGCTTGCAATACCAAATGCCTATTTAGAAGATGTTTGCATTCCCAGCCATTATGGGAGATGCATTATCTTTTCCGGAGACTGAAGCCAGGTTTAATCTGAGCAATAGAGCCTAGAATAATAGGTCATGTTCTCACTGAGAGGCATGAAGATCAAGGTGATTGTTTCCAAAAGACCATCCACTGACTGGTGCTACCAGCTGCATCAGAATCCATCAGGCAGTTTTTTTAAAAAACTCTACCACCAGTGATTCTGACTAAGCAAGTATAAGGCGGGACCCAGAAGCCTCCATTTTTAAGAGTGTCCCGGTCAATTCTGACGTAGGAATATCAGCATAAGGGAATTTCAGAGATGTAGGGTCTATCCCTTGCTCTTCTGTGAGGTTTTTTGGTCAAGGTTTATTTTAACCTTGGTGGTCTTCTGTCACTCAGTCTTCTAAAAGTCCACTTATCTCCTTTCTTTCCTAGTTGTAGTAACTGATATATTCATGTTGCTTTATAATTTGCAGAACATGCTTAGGTCCAGTTTTTTATTTGATTCTTATAGCAATTATGTGATGTGACTTTGTAGTATTTTGTATATGAGAAAAATCAAGGACAAATATCAGCACAAGGTACTGGATGATAGAATGAGCACTTGAACTCATGCCTTCTGACCTCACAGCCTGGACTATTTTCCTTAATTCAAGTTTATTTGTGAGAATTCCTTGAAAGAAATGGAAAATGCAGCTAGGTATGGTATGATGGTGATAGAGTCAATTATTGAGTACTGCTTTTGATGAGATGCCCCTTTAAAAATTTCATCTAAAACATTTTTGAGTATGATATTAAAGTGTATAATACAACACTAATAAAACGCCTGCTCTGTCATAGGCACTTACTTAAAAAATGCATTATCCAGGTATAACTGACATATAATAAGTCACATCTATTTAAATTATGCAATTCAATAAATTCTGACATATGTACATACTTGTGAAATCATGACCACAATCAAGATAGTGAACATAGCCATTGCCCCTCCAAATTTCTTCATGCCCCTCTGTAACTCCTTCCTCTTACCCCTCCCTCCCCACCCCATTCCCAAGAAACCACTGATCCACTTTCTGTCATAATAGATCAGTTTGTATCCTCTATAAACTTATAGTATACAGTATATAGTCTTCTTGTCTTTATTCTTTCATTTAAGTATAATTATTCTGAGATTTATTCATTGTTATGTGCATGAGTGGTTCATCTTTTTCATTGCTCAGTAATATTTCATAGATGGCCATTTGGATTGTTTCCAGTTTGGCTACTACACATAAAACTGCCATTAACTATTCATGTACAAGCATTTGTATGGACATATATTTCTTTTTTTGGTAAATACCTAGGATTGAAATACACATTATGTTTAACTTTCAATATTCTAATAGGTATGTAGTGGTATCTCATTGTGATGTTAATTTGCATTTTCCTAATAACTAATGATGTTCAACATCTTTTTATATGCTTATTTGCCATCTGTATATCTCCTTTGATGAAGTATCTGTTCAGATAATTTGACAGGCATTCTCTTTTCATCCTTATGACAACATTATGAAGTGAGTACTATTATTATCCCCTCTTACTGGGAGGTAAAAAGACCCTATAACTTTCCTAATTTCACACAGCTTGCAAGAAAGAGGTAGGATTTGAACCCTAGGTAGTCAAGCTCCTAAGTCTATGTTTCACATTTAT